ACATTTTTCTTTGACTCGAACTTGTTGGTCAATGATGTGGTTTTTTAATCTTTGATTTTGGGTCGGAACTACCCAGTTCTTTGTTTGTGATTCTGGCAGGTTCAAAGAAGGAGTCTTTGCCAAGACACTCAGCTTCATTATTTTCTCTTTCTATAATCCATTTTAGTTTTTTTCTCCTATGACTAGCACCAGTAATTTGTTAAATAGTGTTAATATAAGATCGTTTTGGACATAATGTGAGGGATTGATTTTCTCTTGTTATTAATTAATAAACTGATCCTCCATGAAGTGTTCTATAGTGATATAATAATTGTAGAAAATCTATTTAAAACCTCCCATGAGGAAATCTAAGAAGAAGAAGAAATATGTTTGACGAGTGTGTTCCGAAAAAATATCGATAAACTCAAAGACCTGAAGAAACTTGATATTATGGAAGTGACAGAACATTTTGGAGAAATTATTGATGGTTTCTGAATACTGAAGTCCAAAAAGGAAGGATGATCTTTGCCAAGAGAGATTAGAAATGTGAATCCAAAGAAATGAAAAGACGGAAATCAATTATTTAAAGGTTCAAAAAATGATCTTTGCCAAAAATAATAAAAATAAGCATAAGAATGAAAGAAAGAAAATAGAAAGAAAGAAAATAGAAAGAAAGAAAGAAAGAAAGAAAGAAAGAAAGGCAGAGAAAGATATCGAGATATACAAAGAAAGAAATGAAAAAATAGAATTAAAGTAGTTAATAAAGAAAGGAAAAATTAAAAAAAAGATACAAAAAATTGAACGAAAGAATGAAAGAACAGACAGACAGTTCTTTGAAAAGATTCTGTAGCACCAGTCCACAAGGTTCAAAGAAAAATGAAAACAGGCTTCATTATTTTCTTTGACTTACATGTGATAAAAAATCAAGTGATGTGGTTTCTGAAGGTAGCAAAAATAAACCAGAAAGAAAGAATGAATGAAAATCAAAGTGACGGAGAGAAAAAAAAGAAGAAAATACAGAAAAGAAAGAAAGAAATAGAAAATAGGAAGAAGGAAATACAAGAAAAAAAGAAAGATTCCGTAGCAATGAAGGTTCACCAGAACGAAAAAAAGGTCAAAAAACAGATGGACAGACAAGAAACTTAATTTGTTAAAAAAAATAAAACAGAGGAAAATAAGGAAGGATAAACAGAAAAATAAAACCTCCCATGAGGAAAAAGTTTTGAAAAAAGAAAGAAAGACTTGATATTATGGAAAGAAAAAAGAAAGAAAGAAAAGAAATGGAGAAAAGAAAGGGAAAAAGTAAAAAAAAAGAGAAAAAAAAGAAAGAAAAGAAATCAATTATTTAAAAAAGAAAATAAAAATAATAAAAGAAAGAATGAAAGAAAGAAAAAGAAAGAAAGAAAAAAGAAAGCGTCACAGGAGGAAATAAGGAAAAAAGATTGAAAGAAAGAAAAAAAGAATTAAAAGCCTAAAAAAAGATACAAAAAATTCGAAAAAATAAGAACAGAAGAAGAAAAAAAGAAAAAAGAAAAGAAAAAAAGAAAAATTCGAGAAAAATGAAATGAAAAGAAAGTGACGGAGAGAAAAAAGAAGAAAGAAAGAAAAGAAAGAAAGAGAAAAAGAAAAGAATTCGAAAAAAAGAAAAAAAAGAATGAACGAAAAAAAGAAAAAAGATGGACAGAAGAAAAAGAAAAAAGAAAAGAGAAAATAAGAAGGATAAACAAAAAGAAAGAAAGAAAGAAAAAAGAAAGAAAGATTCGAAAAAAGAAAAATTCGAAAAAGAAAGAAAGAAAGAAAAAGAAAGAAAAAAAGAAAGAAAGAAAAAAAAAGAAAGCGTCACAGGAGGAAATAAGGAAAAGCTTGCAGAAAGAAAGCCCTAAGAAAAAAAAAAAGAAAGAAAGAAAGAATTCGAAATAAGAAAAGAAAAGAAAAAAGAAAGAAAAGAAAGAAAGAAAGAAAAAGAAAGAAAAAAAGAAAGAAAGAAAAGAAAGAAAAAGAAAAGAAAGCGTCACAAGGAAAAAGACATCTTTGGCGAAATAAGAAAGAAAAGAAAGAAAGAAAGAAAGAAAGAAAGAAAGAAAAGAAAGAAAGAAAGAAAGACATCTTTGGCGATAGGGAGAGAAGAAGGAAACAAGGAATTACCAAAAGATATTCCTTTCATTCTAAAATAAACAATTTATATAAATAAATAAAGAAGAAAATGACAAAAATAATAGAGAAGGAATGTGACATTGAAAAAATGATTTTCTTTTTTTTTTTTTTCTGTTGTTTTCATTTTTATCAGTTGTCTTCGCTTGAATGAATTTGTTGCAAGAGTCAATTCGAGCACCTAATCTGCAAGAATTTCTTCTGAAATCGAATTTTTCTTCGCCGCCGCCGGCTCCTCAGCACATTCCTAATTGCTTTTTGATGCCAAAGTCGCTTGACTGTCCGCTGCCCGTGGACAACAACAATGTGTTGTCCGCTGGCTTTGAGGACAGCGAAGAAAGGTGGCAAGAAAACACATTCAAAAAAATGCCTGCCCAACAAAAACGTACAGCGAATTTTCCTATGCTTAAAAAAATTCCTCAGAAGTAAGTGGCAATAAAAGACACTGAATTAAGAACGACAGAGCAAAGAAAATAAATGAAAAAAGGAAGGAGAAAATAAAAAAGGACAAGAGCAAGTGAGAATTGTAAAGAAAGAAAAAAAGACAGATAGGAAGAAATAATGAAAAAAAAGAAATGCAAATAAATAAAGAAGGAAAGAAAGAAATGTGTAGATTAAAAAAAAAGAAGGAAAAATTGCTAAAAAAAACAGAAATCATTCTAGAAAGGAGTACGCAAAAAAGAAAGATATAAGAAAGAAGGAAAAAGAAAGAAAGAGAAAGAAAAAGAAGGAAAAAAGAAAGAAAAAGAAATAAGGATAAAAGAAAGAAAGAAAGAAAGAAAGAGAAAGAAGAAAGAAACATGAAAGAAACAAAACTGAGAGAAAGAAAGCAGGAAAAAGAAAGAAAAAATAACGAAAGAAAAATAAAGAAAGAAGGAAAAGAAAGAAAGAGAAAAAGAAGTAAAAAAGAAAGAAAAAAAAGAATGATAAAATAAAGAAAGAAAGAAAGAAAGAGAAAGAAAGAAAGGGAAAGAAGAAGAAAAAGAAAGAACGAAAGAAAGATATAAGAAAGAAGGAAAAAGAAAGAAAGAGAAAGAAAAAGAACTAAAAAAGAAAGAAAAAGAAAGAAGGGTAAAAGAAAGAAAGAAAGAAAGAAAGAAAGAGAAAGAAGAAGAAAAAGAAAGAAAGAAAACTGAAAGAAAGAAAGTAGGAAAAAGAAAGAAAAATAAAGAAAAAAGAAAAGAAAAAAGACAGGAAAAAGACAGGAAAAAAAGGATAAAAGAAAGAAAGAATCAGAAAAAAGAAGAAAACAAGAAAGAAAGAGAGAAAGAAAGAAAAAAGAAAGGAGGAAAAAGAAACAATAAGTGAAAAAGTAATGCAATGAAGAAAGGAAAAAGAAGAAAGAAAGGAAAAAGAAGAAAAAATGAAACAAAAATACAAAGAAATGAAGAATAAACGAAACGAAGTAAAGAAAGAAAAAAGCGAAAATAAAAGTATAAGAAAAACATTAAGAAAAAGATATATAGGAGGAGAGAAAGAATAATTGAAAGAAAAAGACAGAACGAAATAACCTAAAGAATATTATAATGAAAGAAATGATTAACTTTTGCAAGAGAAAGAAAAACGAACGAGAAATAACAAATAATAAATAAATGAAATAGCAAATAAGAATGGGGTAACTGATAAAATGAAAGAAGAATGAATAAAACGCACAAAACGAGTGAAAGCTGAATAAATGAATTAAAAGGAAAGAAGAATGAAAAGAATCTCCGTGAAAATGGAGAGAAAGGATTAACTGGAGAAGTCATTAAGCGTAAATGTAAAAAAAGGAATAAAAAGGAAATCTATCCAAATGGAACGAAAGGAAAACTTAAAAAAAAATGAAAGAACGAATGAAAAATAAAGAAAAAGAAAAGGAAGTGAAGTCAAACTAAAAACAGACTAGAATGAATGCAATAAAACAGATATATAAATGAATTAAGGAAAGAATAAGTGAATGAATGAATTAATTAATGAATGAGTGAATGAATGAATTAGTGAAAATTCTGCGAACGAAAGGAAATTCAAGTAAAAGGTTATAAACCAACACTTCCGCAGTCAAAATAAAAGTAGTTATAAAAATCAAAATATAAATCAAGAAAATGGCAGCTAAAAACAAATATATATTAAATAATAATAATAATAATAATAATAATAATAATAATAATAATGGCGAAATAGCTACGACACTATAATGGAGACTGTTAATAGTTTAGTTCAATTTTATCATTCTCACGTTTAATTATTGACTGTTTTGTCTTCGGGCAGGGAGTTCTTTTGGCGGGAAAATTTTCCAGAGCGAAAACTTTTTAGCGCCATATTTATTTTTAATTATTCCAGGCTACAGTTTCGGGCGCTCGTTTTTTTTTTGTATTTTTTCCCCCATTTGTTTTTCTACAGCGAGACTATTTATTTGCTTGACTCTTTTCTGTCATTTTTATTTATTTATTCGAAATGTTTTGTCTTGCTTCTGTGAAGTAAAAAAAAAAATAACGCTCATTGTCTACTCACATATACACAAGCGTTTCTCCACTAAATCCCCAGGCTAGGAACTGTTGTTAATCTTCTTTTTTTTGCTAACAGAACAACAACAACAACAACAAAAAAAACTATAAGCAATTGTCTGTCGATCTCATCTTCGGCTTTTGTTTATTTGCTCCGTACAAAAAACGAAAAAAAAAAAAATTAATGGTACATGCTTATTTCTCAAAGAGGTACTTTTATTTATATTTGATTTAGTTGCCGCCTAAGACGAATCAAATACAAACATATTTTCACGTGAGCGTGTATGAAAGCAGTGACTCGTTTACATTAATAACATCATTAGAACGAATGATAAAACGTTTTTTGATAAAGATAAAAAAAAAATGTCATTCGCTTTCTCGTCTATTGGTCAAATCACTCTAAAAACTTTGATTCTCGTTCGATCACTGAAGTTAAGCACTGTTTAGCCGTGTCAATACTTAGATGAGAGACCGCTTGGGAACACCAGGTAATGAAAGCGACCCCTCTACAATCCCAAATACGTTTCAGTTTTAAATAAACCCACAAAGGGTTGATAAGCAGTAAAAAAGGAAATCGATCAATATATCATCCCTTGTCTGTTGTCAACGATGACGTCCATAATGATTGTTGGGGGAACAGAACAAAGAGATAATCGATTCTAGCCTTTCACAAAATAGTTAATAAAAACAACATAATAATAAGCTAAATCTTGAAGGAGAAATTTACTCTATAAGTAATGAGTGTCACGAAGAATACATAGGTGAAACCTCGAGGAATTTAAATAAAATATTATATAAACATAAAAAGGATCTTTTACTAAACTCAATGTATTACTTTAGATGCAGTTGAAATGATCGGCTCCCTGTAAGCTCCAGTAAGTAACTGACTCTTCCTGCTATCAATTTACAGGAGGCAAATCAGGCTAAAAACATGGAAAACTGTTGTCGTATTTGTGCGGGGGCTGCTCAGATCTCACTCTCCGGCCTTGATAGAGTCCAAAAACGTCCCCGAGCTCTTGTGGGTAACAAATTATTCTCCACCTTCCACCCTCTCTCTCACAGGCGGGTTGTGGCAAGCCTCTCGCATCTCTATGACTACTTCCGCAGAAAGTGCTCGGACGACCTACATTCACTGGTCCTATCAGTTCAAATCATCGCAACTAAGACTCGCCATCTCACTTACATAGTAGTAAACCGCCAAATTTCCCCTCCGTATTCCTTCAGTTCCACTCGAACAGCTTCTTCCTGCGAACCAATGCTCTGTGGAACCAACTCCCAAGAGGAAGCTTCCCCGATCACTACAATCTTAACCTGTTTAAGGCTTTTAACTGTTATATTCCTCTCCTATCCACACAGATTGCATCCTAACGTAACCCTCTATCTCAAATAGTCTTGTTGAGGGAGAACCTTACTCTAAAAAATTAGTAGCTCACTGCAATGAGTCTGATAATATTTTTTTATTTAGAAAAGGCTACGTTCAGTAAGGGAGAAAGCAATTTTCTAAGAGGAAAATGTATAGAAAGTGCTTTAATCGCTGGATCATCAACAGTAAATTTACGTCCAAGATATTACCACATTTCACCTAAATTGGCAGATTTATGTTCACAATGTGAGATATTTAATAACAAAAATGATAAAAATGTTAACAAAAATAAATTATAATAAAAATCATTATAAATAAATTATTAAATATAATTACAGATGCAGATGTGGAGCTTCCATTGATGAGTTTGGCTTGCATCCTCTCTCCTGTCGTTGCAATTATGGCCGCTTTCCAAGGCATGTAGCAATAAACGACATCATCAGAAGAGGTTTCGATTCAGCTGGGTTCCTTCCCAAATCGAACCCTTGGGCCTCGACCGTGGTGATGGAAAGCGGCCGGATGACATTACGATTTTCCCTTTTAAAATGGGGAAGTCGTTGATTTCGGGTGCGACCTGTGCGGATACATTTTCGGTCGTTAATTTGATCAGGTCCACAGTTGAGCCAGGATCCGTCGCTCGGGACGCAGAGATGAAAAAAATAGTTAAATATTCTTCTCTTGCTGATAGATTTTTTTTCTTTACTCCTGTGGCAGTGGAGACTTCAGGGGTTATTGGCCACCGTTCGATGGCGTTCCTTCGGAGGATTGGCGCGATTGCCTCTCGATTAAGGGACGAGCCTCGCGAAACGGAGAGGCTCTTGTAGCGTGTCTCACTGGCGATGGTTCGAGGTAATGCTTTCTCCATCATTGCAGCTGGCAGAGGATAAAAAAAAATACATTTTATTTAAAATAAATTATATCGGACAGACTACATACCCAAACACGTATTTAAAAAAAAAATACAGTTTAACATTAAAATTTTAGCGTGTCCACTCCTTTATGCTTAGGTGTAATCACATCCATGCAAACATTATTATTTTAGTCCGATGAAGTCCAAAACAAGGGTCACGGGAAAAGATTTTTCCACTTTGTCATCAATTTTACTAAGAAAAGATTTCCAGGGATTGAACTCACAATTACTATATCCTCCAAATCCAGAACCAACATCTTCGTCCACAAGGCTATTTTCCCGTAGGAGACAAGAATGCATAGATATATCAGGAATGTGTTTGGTTTTTGAGAACACTAATTCCGTGTGCTAAAAAAATGAATGCAAACTGACGTCTTAGTATGCAGTATGAGACAAATTTATTCTGATTTCTCTTTCAAAAGATTATTAACATAGTTTCTTTCAGTCCGATTGACTGAGATAGATAGATAGATAGATAGATAGAAAGACATGCTGTGATTATGGTATTAGCCGTCTGTCTCTGAGATATGAAGAGAACCGGTTTCTTGAATGGAGTCAAATGGACCCATATATATACTGTGATGCTTTCTAAGTCGCGTTTGTAATGGTCATCGGAGTTGTAAGCAATAGCGGCCATGTTTGCGATAACACATCTTCTCGGGGCTGCAGACAAATTACAAATTCCTGGATGGAAGATGTAGCCGAACCATCCGTCTAGAAGGACACTGCTCTTTTTTGCATAGCCCACGTTGTCCAGGAGTGACGAGTAGGTAGCTTTATAAAATCACTACAAGAGGCTTTTCAGTTATCGAGTCCTTCCTAAGAAGCACACCCATGAAGTTAGTGAATAGCCAGTCCCCCGTGATCCATGAGATCACTACCGGCGTCACCCAAGCTTACCACTTAGTCCACCTCTCTTTCTACTTCTCATTATTGATCTATTATAGGCTGAGATAGATAGATAGATAGATAGATAGATAGATAGATAGATGATATGAACATGAAATAGATAGATAGATAGATAGATGAATGAATGAATGAATGAGATAGATGACTGAGATAGATAGATGATAGATAGATAGATAGATAGATAGATGAATGGATAGATAATTGACCGAGATAGATAGATAGATAGATAGATAGATGAATAATTGACTGAGATAGATAGATGGATGAATGATATGAACATGATAGATAGATAGATGGATAGATAGATAGATGAATGGATAGATGGATGGATGACTGGGATGGATGGATGGATGGATAATTGACCGGGATAGATGGATGGATGGATGGATGGATGGATGGATGGATGGAATTGACTGGGATGGATGGATGGATGGATGGATGGATGGATAGATGTGAACATGATAGATGGATGGATAGATACATGGATGGATGGATGGATGGATGGATGGATGGATGGATGGAGATATGAACATGGATGGATGGATGGATGGATGGATAGATGGATGGATGACTGAGATGGATAGATGGATGGATAATTGACCGAGGATAGATAGATAGATAGATAGATAGATAGATAGATAATTGACCGAGATAGATAGATAGATAGATAGATAGATAGATAGATAGATAGATAATTGACTGAGATAGATAGATAGATAGATAATTGACCGAGATAGATAGATAGATAGATAGATAGATAGATAGATAGATAGATAATTGACCGAGATAGATAGATAGATAGATAGATAGATAGATAGATAGATAGATAGATAGATATGCTGTGATCGTGGCATTAGCCGTCTGTCACAAAGACATGCAAAGAACCAGACATGTACTTACAGTGATGCACTCTAAGCCACGTTTGGAAAAGTCATCAGAGTAGTAAGCAATGGTGGCCATGTTTGCGATAACACCTCTCGGGCCTGGATCGAATTGGTAGCCGAACCATTTGTCTAGAAGGACTCTGCTCTTTTTTGCATAGCCCACATTGTCCAGGAATGGCGAGTGGGTAACTTTATAGAATCACTAGAAGAGCCTTCTCAGTTATCGAGTCCTTCCTAACAGAAGTTATAAAGTTAAATGTTAATAGCCATTCTTCTGTGGGCTACGAGATTACTGCTTGTGTCACCCAAGGCTTACCACTTAGCCCACCCCTCTTTCTGTTTTACATTATTGATCTGCCTAAGATCTTTTATGAATCTCTATGCAGATGATAAATATTTTATATGGGTGGACCTCCGAAATTTGAGATGAACATAGCCTGGGACCTGATCTCTCTTTTAACCTAGCTATAACAACTCAACAGGTGGAAAACTGACTGGTCACATTCAATACCTCAAAGATAAAACAATTAACGCTCCATCTGTTGCAGTTTTTTTGTGTATATATCTACTAGTGAGCCAACCCAACTGATTTGACTCACTTTATAGTCCACCAATGGAAAGTTAACCAATCAGAAGACGTAGAATATTCAATCCGTCGTGTATAAAGGCGGCCATTATTGTTTACTCTATCCGAATGTCCAGTGCCAGCTTGTCAGGCGAAGAGAAACAGAAGGACGAACTATGCTCTGCTACTTTTACCAAAATATCCACTACTAACCTGAAATACGCTTTCCTACTGTCTTCGAAATATTCACTGCTAACCTCTGGATTCTATACTCGAAGCCGACCGTCATCACGAATAACACCATCATCACCGAGCTTGAAGTTTCTCTCAAATAGACTTGAACGCCTATTGGAGCAGAATCTCGCCTCAGAGCGCGTGGAATTCATATATACTATCCATGGCTAAAGATGCTGGGAAAATAATTTATTCCCTGTAGCGATCCAGTAAGTAGCTGATCCCCTCATGCTATACATTACCTTTACAAGAGCCCAATCAAACAAATAATGCAACAGTGCTGTCATATCCGGGCTGTTACTACACAGTCCTTTCCATTCTTGATATGAGTCCAAAAGCATTTACGCTGCCCTGCGGGTGATGGATTACTTCCCGCTAAAAGCCCTTGCTCACGGGAGAAAAAAAAACTTTTCAAGCCTCTCGTTACTTTATTGTTATCTCGATAGAAAATATTCAGACGAGCTACATTCCTGAGTTATCTTCACAGCTTAGAACAGCTACGCCCCGTATAATGAGGCAAACAACTCGCATTCCTTTCGTATTCCATTTTTGAGGAGGAAGTTTATTTCGGAAAGCTTCTTCCGATGAAACGCTATTTCATAGAACCAACTCCCAAGATGATGCTTTCC